TATCCTCTCCCACTTTGTAAACATGGTTTGTCAAGTCACTCTTAGGCTTGATCAACAAATATAGAAAAAATATATATGTTTCTATCATCAGAGCGAGTGAACATTTTTAAGTGTACTTAATAAGGCTATATCATCTGTTTCGTTGATTCCAGATTTATTTCTACTGGATCTGCAGGGAGACAGGTGCCTTTGCCTGGTTTAATGACCTTTTGATTTCCCTGGAACGGGAGATGGAGGAATTAGGCAAAGTGGGTTTTCTAAACTACCGTCTCTTCCTCACTGGATGGGACAGCAACATCGTGAGTACACACAACACTCTAATTCTCATGTCAAATATATAGGATGAATGTCAGATAAAAGATAGTGCAGGCTCATCATAAACAGTTATTTCTTAGGGTTGCCCACCTTCCCTCACCCTCACACCCAGTTTAAAAGTGGCTGAATGAAATGGCAGCTACAAAGACTTGGTTTTTCTAACTTCTTATTTTTCTGACTTCAGGCTGGTCATGCAGCATTAAACTTTGACAAAGCTACTGACATCCTGACAGGTCTGAAACAGAAAACCTACTTTGGGAGACCAAAGTGGGACAATGAATTTTCTGCAATAGCTACCGCCCACCCCAAGTAAGTTATTCTTCGGTTAGTTAAATTTGCAGAGGTAGAGTTTAGGAAAAGTATTAAGCATGTTGAACATTCTTGGGAAAAGATCTCTGAGGAAGAAACTAGTTGTGTCATTCTTAGATTCTTACTTTAAAAACTGAAGAAATTGAATCTGGGCTTTAAGAAGTAAGAGTCATGAGCTTAGAATTGGTGAGATTTTTGCTGCCCCAGCAAACCTCCATTCAAACAGTGAAACAAAGACTCAAATATGACCTATATCACCAAACAAAATAGAGAATTGGAGCAATTCAAGGGTACTTTTTGGGGGGCCTTGATGACTTCCACATAAATTAATGAGGTTTAGCATGTGTTATCTGGTTCAATGATCAACTGCACTCAAGGTTTTTCTGGAAGATTTTGAGACACCTTTTACAACACACAGGAAAACCTGGAATTATGAAGCCAGCCATATAAAGATTAAGAAGAATGAAGCTGATCATGGTAGATAAGCTCCCTGAGCAAATTGGCAGGTGAAGATCAATTCAACTCTAGACATTACTGGTTACATGCTATAAGCTCAGCAATTAGCATTGGAGGTTGAAAGAGAAATAGGATATGCTTCTTGCCCTAAAGGAGCATATATTTGGATAAGAGATGCATACCGTCAATTCAAAGTAGAATGATGTGCTTCATGAAACAAGTGCCTGGATATTAAAGCATTCATGAAGGCAGTAGTAAGAGCAGTTAGTGACTGGGATTTGGATGATCCTGAGTTCCAATGTTGGTATTGAAACTTTCCAGCTCTAGGACCTACAGCCACAAAACCCTTTGATATTCAGATTCCTCATCTGTAAAATGGAGGTTATATTAGTAAATAAATGCTTGCTTTACTCACTTGCAGGGTTGTTGTCAAGATTAAGTGAGATATATGAAAAATGCACTATAAATAGTAAAGCAGTATATAGGCAAAAGAGATCCTGCTAATTATCATTTTCATTTGATCACAGCCAAAATTCAGCACACATGAGATTGCCAGGAGAGAGAAGTGGGGAGAGAAGGGAGAAGGAGGGAGAAGGGAAAGCAGAGAGGGAGAGAGAGAGAGAGAGAGAGAGAGAGAGAGAGAGAGAGAGAGAGAGAGAAACAGAATGCCCCTAAGGAATGCCTAGATTATGTTGGAAAGGAGAAAGGTAAACCAAAGAAAAAAGTGGAATGCAGAAAAGTACTGTACTGTCACAGAAGCCAAAGGAAGAAACAGTAGAGAAATGCAGCCAATAGTACTGGAGAAGTGGCAAGGTCAGGAAATGCTCATTTAGGTTAAGAACAATTTGAATATTTTTATTTTTTATTTTATTTTTTTTTATTTTTTTGTACCAGGGATCAAACTCAGGACCTTGCGCTTGCAAGGCAGGTGGTGGCATCACTGAGCTAAATCCCTGGCCTGAACAATTTTCATAGACAGAACAGGAGCCAGTAGATGGGAATAAAATAAATATACAAAAGAGAAGTGAAGATTAAGATAACCATAATAAAAGATAGATAGTACTATGCGTTGGTGAAAAAAGATTTTTTTTTTTTTGGTACTGGGGATTGAACTTGGGTCCTTCCACTTGCAAGGCAGGCCACCGAACCGCTGAGCTAAATCCCCAGCCCTAAAAAATAGAGAATTTGGCATCTTGCCATAGTTTGTGGGAATGTGAAACAATGCAGTACTTGAGACTTCTTTGGCAGTTTCTCCAAGTGTTAGACATAGTTTCCATATGATCCAGTTACTTCATTCCTTGGTATATACCCATGAGAAATGAAAACACATATACACAAAAATTTATACATGAATATATATAGCAGCATTATTCATAATAACCAAAATGTGAAAAATGTCCATCAACAGATATGGTACATCTGACAGATATGGATTGTTCACCTATAAAAAGTATGGACACATGCTACAACATGGATGAAACTTGAAGACATGATGCTGAGGGAAAGAAACCAGACAAAAAGGGCCACTTATTGTGTGATTCTATTTATAGGAAATGTTCAGAATTAGCTAAGTCTATATGATCTAGGGTAGGGAGTATGGTTGGGAGGAAATGAAAAATGACCACTAATGTGAATGGGATTTCCTTTTGGGATGGTGAAAATGTTTTGGAATTAACAGCAATGGTCGCACAACTTTGTGGCTTTAATAAACAGTAAACGTACAGTACACCAAAGGGTGAATTTTACGGTTGTGAATTATATCATAATTAGATTTTTAAAAAGAGGAGAGTGGTGACAACCCAAACATAATTGGTAAGGTTAGCTTTGGCAAGAACATCATTTCTTCTGTGTGGGAAATTTTGGAGTGGAGTTAAGTACACAGTGGATGGCTTTAATGACAGCCAATACTTGCTATATGCCAGGCATTTTTCTAATTGGTTTATGCCTTTTAATTCTCATAAACCCTGTGAGGTAGGTAATTATAGTACATACAGATGTACTATTTTCCCCCTTTTACAGATGGGAAAGCTAACACACTGAGAACGTGCTTAAAGTCACACGGGTTGTATGTCAAGAGCTGATGTGAATGCAGATTGGCTCCAATGTCTAACATTTATCATTGTATTGCATAGGATTTCTGTGTATCTGTTTCCTCAAAAAAATGGGTTAGGCCAAGTGCTGAGTGACAAGGGCTGAGCGAATATGTACGACTTATAAACAGAAAAGGTTAAAAAAAAAAACAACTACTACATGAAGAGCATGGGTGGGAGTCAACAATTGAATTTTTGTCCAATGTTGAGTGTAGCAGAGGCGATTTCTGCATTCTTACCAATTATCAGTTTTTACTGCTTTCTGACCCTTACTATTGTTCTATTCCCACAGGTCTGTGGTGGGGGTTTTCTTATGTGGTCCTACAACTTTGGCAAAGAACCTAAGCAAATGCTGTCACCGATATTCCAGTATGGATCCTAGGAAGGTTCAATTCTACTTCAATAAAGAAAATTTCTGAACTATAGAGAAAAAAAAAAAAAAACAAAAACCCCAGTAGGCTGTTTTTGTCTCTCCCTTGTATCTTCAACTTCCTTGGCCTGATCAGGTTTGAGCAGTGAACTTGAGATAATACTGTACCTCTCAAGCCATTACTCCCTGCCATTATTAGGAAAAAAAAATGGCATTCAACATCATTGTACTTGAGCTTCACCAAGCTAAGAACTTCAGAAATTATAATTGCAAAGCCCATGGATCTCTTCTTGGGAAAATAATCTGAAATTCTTTTGGAAAGCCATGACTGCAACAAAACTCAATGGCAGAGCTTTGGAGGTTGAGTTACACAAATGAACCAGTCAACTTTATTGACTTCAATTTCTGTAATTTGGTTTATAATCTTCCCTCCCTTCTGCCCTCATAAAAGATCTCTAAGTAAGGTGACTTTTAAAATAAAAATTTATTGAATTAATGACAAAACATAACCATAAATAATAAACAGTGAACATAAAATTACCAAGAACCCTCTTTTCCATAAAATACCAACAGGGTACATTCTGTAACTTTAACCATGTTTTTTTTCCAGTGTGAACAGAAACTTATGCTGTATTTTTGACAAAAATGATTTTCTTTGATTAAGGAATGAGTCTTTTGTTAACTTTTTCCTAGGCTTTCCATTTCAGAAAGAAAATCTTAAAAAACATGGTAATTGTTCATTGAAATTGTATTATAATAAAAAGCTATATTCATCTTATATTACTCTGTTGGAAATAATTAGGAAAACTTGATCTCCACATGGGATGACTTACTGAACCAGCAGAAACTCTTTATCACCAGTTTTGTAAAGGGGCTTTATTGTCTAGTGTGAAAAATAATCCTGATATTTTTGGTTCCTATCTATTCATTAAGGAATCATTCACCTAATCACATAAGCAAAATGCCTTTGTCTTATTAATAATTATTTCTCCTATTTATCCAACTTTGTGTATTATGACCACACTGGCTCTGGGATGTTAGCAGCCACAGCGAGTCACTAGGAGAAAAGAACCTCCATACTTCATTGTGCTCAAAGACAAATTTATAAGGATGTTTCTACTGAATAAGCACTACAGCACCTACTTTTCTACCATTAAGTGATCAAGAATGAGCAAATCATTGTTTCTAATTATATACGGCAAAAAGGATTAGTTTTTTTCAGTCACTGAAACACAATACATGTAAGGCTATGAACATGTGGTAGCTGTATCAATATGTCAGTAAAAAAATATTGAGTATTTCTGAGTGTTTCTCTAGGGGTAGATTGGAGTGCCACTGCTGTTGCCATTTTGTTCACCCACATTTCAGCTACAAACATTAAGTTGAACAAGGCTTTGGGAAAATATACAATGGAACCTTGAAGATACAGCTGGTTCCTATTTCATCTGTACTTTGATTTGCAATCTGAGCTCTTTGAAACCTATGATCTCATAACAAAAAATGCTTCCTTCTCGATCTCAATGTCTAAATATATTGACATTTCAAGATACAACAGCTGTCAAAATCAACACATCAAGGACTGAATATTCACGGAAGTAGGCAGAAAAGGTAATAAAAACCAACTCTATGCATAATTAACATCCAAGGTGAATCAGGGATGAAGATACCCAGAACACTACTTAGCTGTCTTGATCTTTTCTTGCTAGGTTGTAATATGCAATATCCAGCAAATTTTCATTGTAAATGTTTACATATCTGAGTAAAAAATGCTCAATTTTAATATCTCTCATAAAGCTGATTATCTTTGCACTACTTTGCTTAACATTAAGCAATATGCTATTACATTCTTAAGCCTGTCAGGCTTTTAAGTCACCTGACCATAATCCTAACCCAGAGGATGAGATTCTGAGAATATAAATAGGCTCAAAAGTAGTTCTAGTAGAACTTTACTAATTATTAAGACAACTCTTAACCTCTTGAGGTCAGCCTGATAATGGAGAGAAAACATTTCTCCTTAATGCCACTATGATAGAGAATACTAGGCAAGGAGACCCATAGGTATGAGTTACCAGCACTAGTTATGTTTGTAAATATCTCCAAGGAAGTAGGCAGGGCAGACCTAAGGGGTAACCTGATTGCTTGTCCTCTACATTTGATCCTCTTACAATAACTGAGAAGAATGTAAAGACTTTTAGGGCTTTCTGTTTTAAGTTCCAAGAATAAATTTGGTTATAGGGTAGAGGACTGTAGGTTAGTGAATTTTTGGAGGATAGGATCAAATGTATCTTGTGTATTTGATTTCTGTTGTTTTAAATTTATCTTGAACATGAAAAAAACGAGCGGCTTTTTAAACTTTTAAAATTGACTACTTAGACTGAGGAGTTTTAGAACAGACAACTAAAATGTCAACAGTTTCTTGTGTTGCTGACACACACTTAAACCAGTGCCAATACAATCTTTCTTAACTCTGAACTATGTATGATCAAACCTGATACTAACAACAAAAAATGAGTTTTGATATTTGGACTTTTCTAAATTAAACACATTGCGGCGGTAGGCTGTTTTGTTATGTTTCTGACCATTTTATGGCGCCAAGCACATCCAATTCTCTCCTGGAAGACTCAGATGTTCTAAAAAGTTTCTTAAGGACAAAGCCTTATTATTCTTGCTGAAAGCAAACTAAACAAAGACCAAGTTCCAGAAAACACTGCTTCTCACAAATTCTAAATTATCATGAAGAATAAATGGTTAACCTACAGCAAACACAATTCAATGGCAATATAACATTAAAGTACAATGCTGAAGGGTAGAAAATACATCGACAGTTTCACTCTTGAAGTTCAGCTTTTTAAAAGCAAACGTGTATCAATTTGCAGTGTACTAAAATTGTGTTCAAAGTTTATTTCAAGTCACAGAAAATATACAAACTAAAACAACAAAACGAACTGATTTTTTTCTGAGAGAAGTTGATGAGAGTCCTCCACCTGGCACCAATTTGAGTCATTCAAGGGTTAGGATGCAGACGTCACCTTTTTTCAACATTTCAACAATGTTATAGAATTAATTTCCAGAATTGTTGCCAGGTAGTTTTGAAAACCTGTAAGAAAAAGTTGGGAAAAAGGTATTAGAAATAGACAAAGTTCTCTTCCCCAAACATCAGGAAAAAGACAAAAAGGCTAGGGGAAGGAGGATACACATTTTTTTACATGTGTGTCTCTCACCTCCCCAAAGCAATCATCCTTTGTAGCAGTTTCCCAGCCGCATTACACTGACACTTTGAGTTGGAGCACTCTTTACTATTGGTGGGAAAGTGAATATCTTATGCATTACACAACGTTCAGGAGCATTTCTGATTTGTACCTACTAAATGTCAGTGGCATACTATATTCCCTAAAGTTGAGACAACCAAAGATGCCTCTAGACAGTGCCAAATGTTCCTTAAGGGGCAAAACTGATCCTTGCTGAGAAACACTTAAGCTAATGGTAATGGTAAAGAAGCCTGTCAGCGATGGCGAAGAGGGACCATAACTAGGTAGGTACAAGATAGAGGGAAACCCAACGCTTCAGCCACAGTATGCACAAATAGTAGCAGACACAGTAAAGTCTTGCCCACATAAAATTGCAGATGTGGTATCATACACATAGGCATAAATTAGGGTGGGTGTAAAAACAGTGGTCAAAATTGAGTAAGGTTTATAGTTTAGTTCACAGTAATATACCAATGTCAAGTTCTTGGTTTTATATTACAAAGCAGAAAGATGTTATGGTTGGGAGGAAGCTGGCTGACGGGGACATGAGGTTTTCTGTACTATTTTTCCAAATTCCTGTGAATTCACTGTTTCAAAAGGTAAAAAACAGACAAAAACCCTGCCCTCTGGTTAACGTGCAAGGCTTTATAATAGGTATCTTATAAGCAAGAATAATGAGAGAATTTTCAGCAATATTTCTGCCTTCACTATTTAAAAAAGTAATTTTCTCACATTGCAGGGAATGCCTCCTCGGCCATAAGTAAATTCCTCTGACTATAATACATAGTCCATGTTTTTACTGACAAAATAGAGTATTGGAGGTATGTGGGAAAAAAGTCAAAGCACTGGTCATATCAAAAGTCTAGATTATAGCCATCCATCTATGATACCTCCCAATTATAATTCAGTCAACTGCAGTCTAAAAACAGATATGATAATAGTTGCAGTTCTGATGTTTTAAAGACATTACAAATATGGGTTAAAATATGACATATTTAATAAGACTGCTAATTATTGTAAGTTCAGTATTATAATGCATGGACAGAAATTATAACGTGGATAGAGTAAAAAGGAGATATTCAAAAGATACTGGGTCAGTGTAAATTTTAAACTGTTTTTGGAAAACAGAATTATTTATGATACAATGATGTTGAGGCAAAAAAATTCTTTAAAAGAAACAACAATATATATCAAGTTAGGTCATATGATTATTTATGAGGCAGTTTACCTGAATCCTTTTTACCTGATGAGCAAGAAAAATAAGGGTGGTAGTATACAGCAATCTCCAAAATGTATAGAAACTGATGGTGATGGTGGATATTTACTACCTTAAACGTGCTGTAATAGTTTAACATCAAGATAGTTATTAGAAAACAAGTACTGGCAACTAAAATATCTATACATTTTACTAAAATATTTTGTATTTTTTCTATTTTGATGAGACAAAATCTATTTATTGTTTTGGGATAAAACAATACAACTCATTCTGTAAGGATACATGCTAAAGTATATTGAGGGGTGCTATTTGGAGAATGAAATCAGGGAAGCAGGGCCTTTTATCTTTAACTTTCTACAGTGCCATATCTGATTAATTTTATTAAACTGATATTATTTTGTCACTAGGAAAAAAAGATTATAAGCAATTCAACAACTGAACAACTGTTCTACGCCTCAACTATCATCTGAGGCTCTGACATCTGAGAGTAAAGTGAATCCAGTTAAGAAGACTGAGGGCTTCAGAAAGAACAATCTTTTTGGTTGAAAGTGCATACCGCAAATACATAAGGGGCTACTCCTACTCAGGTGGGATTAAATGTGCTCACATTTCAAGGTGCTCCAGTGGATTTCTGTATTTGTTCCTTTAAGATTAGGATACTCTGCCTTTGCTCAGGAGGCAGCATGGCAATCTGATCTGCAGTCAGTTGAAGGACCTGCATAATCAAAGCAGCCTGTGCAGAGGAAAAGAAAGTAGTAAGTTTCAATGATGGTAGCTAAAAAACAAATCAAAACAGAAAACAGCTTCTGTCCAAAAATCTACTGTCGGGACATAAAGCAAAATGGAAAAGGGAATGATATTTCACACATAGAAAACAAACAGCAAGCCAAAAAGAAAAAAAATTCTGGTGAGAAAAAGGCACAATGAAAGAACAAGTATAAATTAAAATACCTAAGACTAGGCAATTCAAAACAGACACCTTTATCAACTCAAAGTTCCTGCAGACAAAGATGGTATCTGTGAGCCCTGGGAATTCTTCAGTTTGTAATCCTGTTCTGAAGTCTTTCCTTTTCACAAGTTTTAGCCTTTCCATCAGACATGAGCTCCCCACAACGGTGGAAAGCTATACTTATGGGAAATCTACTACTGTTTTTAGGGATAAGGTAGAAAGGGGAGGAAGTAAGGGGATTGTATTTTTAGGTAATCTGGTCTGCACAAAAAAGTCTGCTAATGGTAGATGAATTTGAAATGTAAGATAAGCTACCATGTACAACCACTTAAGAACTTTATGACCAGGTCCATAAATTTTCAGGCAATAAGATCATAAAAGAGTTCTAAGTTAGAGTAAACATCACCTCCAAAGGGACTTTGAAGACCCAGGATCGCCACACGGTAACTGTGAAAAGAGGAATCAGAAAGACTAGATTTGTCCATAAGGAGGCAGTCAGTCAGTCAGTGTTGCTTACCTTCTCATGATCCTGTGGTGTGACTTGGTTCTGCCCAGGACTAAAACCACCAGGCTGGCTTCCACCCTGCATGCTTGCTCCTTGCATGCCTGTTCCCTGCATAACTGGGACCTTTGTGCACAAAGAGAGAAAAGAGATTTTCTTCAGAGCTCCTGACACAGAGGGAACCTGAGTACAGTAATGACAATGTAAAAAATTATGAACTTTATATAAATATGAGTAAAAAAGCAACTTAATGAGTCTGAAGATTAGTTTCTACTGTGAGTAATGACAGAAGGCAGCATTTAGCTAGAGATCAAATAGAAAATTAGGCATACTTGGTTTCAACAGCTCCAGCATTAGCAACAAACATCACACAGCACAACTGAATACCATCAATTTAAACAAACTTCCACCAAATAAACTCAGAAAAAACTGAGAGCACTCTGGAAACTGGTGCTAAGTGGAAACACAAATGAAAACCAACAGATTCTATAATATATGCTGGTCCATTGGGAAAGCTACATTAACAGGGCTGCTGCCTATTGCTAGTACAATCAGACACAGGTAGTTAGTTCATCCCAAAAGGCCCTACCCCACAAATAAGGTAGATGATCACAACGTCAGAGTCAGAAAGGAAATGGGGAGGCCTCTCATAAAAACTGCTATTCGCCCCACACTTGCTTTTTACAGCTTTCCTTGGGAAATATGAAGCTGATGCTTTCTGCTCAGCAAAAAGAAATATGATTGACCTGACTAAAAGAATAAAGTGTATATCATTCTTATAGGTATTTAAGATCTTCAGTGAGTCCAAACCTTTGGAAAACTATCAGAATCCAAAGAAAAGCTCTGAGCACAGAGCATACACTGTTAGATGCACCCTTACACCAGAATTAAGTTTACACTCTGGCATTCACTCAGAGATTAGGTACTCTAATTAAACACAATTTATTAACGAATTTGATGCTTGCTTCCCCAGTAGATCAGAAGAAGCAAAGCAAAAAACATAAACTGTTAGGAGCAGATACAATGGCAGCATTGTGAAAAGCAAGGTGATAGCCTGACAGAAAAGGAGACCAGAAACCACACAAGAGATAACTATGCTTTATATTGCAGCATATGCAATAATGGATCTACTTAATGATGACCCCGAGTAATAAAAAATGATTAGAATATTTTTTAAATCCTTTTTAAGAATGGAAGCATAAAATATACCTTATAAGTAATTTTTTGCTGTAAGTTTTATAATTTGGTAAATAGTTCTATTATCTAGAACATCTACTTATATACATTAACTCATTTCCTAAGCAATGGGTAGATGAAGCATTAGTACAACTTTTGTGCAGGCTGATAAAATATTATCACTGTTCTGCTCTTTATCAATACTAAATCTAGAGACTTGCCTGAACCTTAATGATCTGTTACGGATGTCAAACAGCTAAGAACTTAGTCTTTTTGAAAGTTACTAATACTTATTAACACTAACTTGAGGTATTGTCATGTGAAATATTTACTCACTAAAAGCTATTCTAAGTTTCCAGTAATACCTGTTCCAGGCAGATAAGTACTATCAAGAGTGACCATACATTCTGGTTTGCTAAGACAATCCTAGTTTATGCTTTTGCCTCAGAGTAAGCTATTAATAACACTCTATTTCACTCTCAAATATGCCCTTATAAAACAGGCATGGTGGTACACGCTTGTAATTCCAGAACTTGAGAAGCTGAGACAGGAGGATTGCTGTGCGTTCGAGGCCAGCCTGGGTTACACATGAGTCTAAAGACAACCTGAATTACAGAGTGAGACCCTGCCTCAAAAAGAAAAAAGCCCTACTATGGATGACAAATTACATAATCACTCTGGCAGTACTAAACTTTATGTACAAGTTTCTAAATGGGTGGACTAGAGTCAAATTTTAAATATCTTATTTCAAATGATGAATTATGGACACATTGTTAAGTAAAAAAACAAAGTACAGAACAGTGAAAGGGGGAAAAATAAGAATACATCACAAGTGAGAGGTACAGAGAGGAAGTGAGGTTCTTAACATATACTTTTTATAGATTAGTGAGTGTATTATATGTATTTTTAAGTGAACATATTAATTTAAAATATTTAAAAAGGTTTGAAGATAAAATTTTTAATTTCCTTAGATCTAACTGGCTTAACAGATTATTAGTAAAAACTATATTGGGTAAGGGATGTAGCTCAGTGGTAGAGTGCCTGCCTATCATGTATGAGACCCTAGGTTCAATCCTCAGCACGGCAAAAAAATAAAATTTTAACCAAAAAACCTAGTATTATAGAGCAATGAGTTCAAGCACTACCACAGAAAATGAAGCAAGACATTACCCAGAAATGGTCTCAAAACCATTATTTTCAAAGTCTTTCTCCACAGAATTATGTTAAGTACACTATGTAGTTATTTGTTGTTTCTCTTTCCGGCTAGTGTGTAAACTCCATAGGGGCAGGGACTTTCTTGTTCTCAATGTTATATCCCCAATATCTAGATCTGTGTCTGGTACACAGTGGGCACGCAATAAGCAACTGCTGAATGGATGCATTAAAAAAATTGAGGGTACTGATCACAGAGGGTATAAGAATCAAGGCCCACAAGCACATTTCTTTTCCTTTTTTAAAGCAAAACCTGAAAAAGTCTGTACATTCCAGATATAATATAAATATAAAACATATTTATTTCAAATTAAGAAGGAATAGGTAGACACCCATACATAACCATGTACACAAATGTGCAGATATCAGGACAGTTTTTCCCAGAGTGGGAAAAACCAGTGGGCTCTATTCTTTACTCTGCCACCTTTTAGTTATGTGAATTAGGTGACTTATGTCACCTGAGTTTTGGGGGGCCTGTTTCCAAATCTATAAAATGAGGGAACTGGATGACTGAAGTGTGATCGACATGTTCCATTTCAGCTCTAACATTCTCTCCTGCTGCACTCTCACAAAAGGAGGAAGATACATAAACATATCAAAGAGGAAAGAGGAATATACAGAGGAAGGAGGAAAAAGGAAGTACTAGAGGGAAATGGAAGTATCACATACAAAATCTCAAAGAAGATACACACGTACCACCTTTCCATAATAAAATAGGGATAAAGAAGGAAGAGATGACAACCACAGAGCACAATATACATAACAGCTGGAAAGAGGCAAATGAGAGAGAGACTTCAGTTGTACATATTTCATTGTTTACTCAGGCTTTATGATGACAACAGATTAATAGCAGTTTATGCAATCCTAAGATTATCTAAGTGACCACTGTTCTAAGCCAGTGGGTTCTTTGGGTCACATATATAAAACTGTTTGAGAGAAGTTTATCAAATCACCCATGCTAGGATCCTGATAGAACTGCTGAGAGTTAGGCTGAGATCCTGGCAAATATATTTTGGAAAACATCTTGTAGGTGATGTTGGTTTGTACCCCCAATAAAGAGTACTCTCTAACCTCTGAATTTTCAAGGGCTCTACTTTGAATGAAATAGTTACTGAAATTGTTGAACAAGATTGTTCTTTTGGATTACAATCCTGGTGGCCAGAGAATCACCCTGTTGAGGGACAGAAAAAGGGAGATCCTAGTCTGAGAAGTAGTTCTCATCAGCAGGTAGCAATAATCGGGTTCAACAAGCGTCTTAAATAGATCAAGATTTCACATACCTGTCTAGCTCCTTGGGGGCCAACTGCCCCAATGTTAATTGGACTGGGGCCCTGGATTCCACTAGGTATAGGTCCTCTAGGCCCTGGCACGGGGCCCCTGGTATCCATGCCTCTGGCCTCCATCCCGCGGACCTCCATGGCACGAGCTTCCATGGCACGGGCCTCCATGGCACGAGCTTCCATGGCACGAGCTTCCATAGCACGGGCATCCATCCCCCTGGCATCTAAACCTCTTGCCTCCATGGCTCTGGCTTCCATTCCTCGTGCATCTATTCCTCGGGGATCTCTTCCACCTATAAAGTTGTAAGAAAACCACCATGAAGCTACTCACCTGTACTGTAAGAACTAACAATTCAAGAAAGATGGACATCTATTATTCTAGTCACATCTCCCTTCAACTATACAAGACTCCTCTTTAGTTTCTCAGATTTATAAGTAAACCTTAATGATGCTTGCTAATCACATTTCCCTAGCAGCTCTTATTCCACAGTAGAGATGAAGACAGCTGAATTCTTTATTAACCCACAACTACAAGTTAGCCTCATGATGCAGTCTTCCCTTACCTCTGCCATCCAAGGGAGGACCCCTTTGATCTAGCATGGGTCCTCTTGGCTCTGCCATTAGAGGTCTGGGCTCAGCTAATGGCCCTCCCCTCATCTCATGTGGGGGTGGTCCACGGCCCTCATGGCCAGGAACATGGTGCATGGGTGGACCCTGATGAGGTGGTCCCAGGTAACCTCTAGAGATGGAGAGAAATGCTGCACTTAAAACAGAACTAACAAAAACAATAAAGTATCAACTAGAAGATTAATAAGTAAACATCTGACCAAGAACTGACATAAACATTAGTCAATAAATGGATAAAACTATAGTGACATAAATCCACATGGTCTAGAATTTCCAATTTAGTCCAGGCACTCATAATTAGGGAGGAATTAGTGGGCATTCATTAAATGTATAATGAGTATGCAAACTTGTTTTCACACATTCTGGATTCAAACTGAATGGGTCAAATCTAGGTTCTATCATTTATTAGATGATGTGTGATCTTGGGCACATTTACCTTTCTTCTTCATGACTTCGCTGCTTCATTTGTAAAATGGGACTAATAATATCCACCTTCTAGGGCTTATGGGTTTATTTATTAAATTTTTCAGGGCTGGGGACAGAACTCAGGGCCTTATACATGGCAAACACTCTACCACTGAACTACATGCCCAGTCTAGGTTGTAATTTAAATGAGATAATCTAGGTAAAGTATGCAGAGCTAAGTCAAAGGTATAATTCCCATTAATGTCAACTACTGTTATTATTGCTAGTATTAATATTGCCACTACCATAAGTTTTCTTTGTTCAGGTATACTAGAATTTTTAATTTCTGAAAACGTAGAATTCATGGTTAGCTTAAAATGATGCATTAAACCATATAGTTTTGCCTTGGGAGAAGTGCTTGGTCTTGGACAGTGACCTTGAATATTTACCTTTGAAGTAGGCAAACAGGTACAAGTGATGCAGAAAGTCTTTCCTCTAAGCAAGGAAAAATCCTAACTTCTCAGACAGTTTTCTCTATGTCAGCCAGTGCTTACCTAGGCTCTACCTCTCCAGTTACAGAAAGTAAAGTGCCTCCCCGTGGGTCATTCGGAGCATCTCCTAACAGACCTCGAGGAGTTGGGACATTGGCAGGCAAGGATCCCCGCTGCATAGCGGCTCTGGGGTCTTGCATCGGCACTGACAGGAAAACAAAGAGGGAGTTACTGCTGTGAAGGACATATAAGGAAACAAGAAATGACTCTATATACCACTGACAACATAATTCAGACACCTTAGAGTGGGTGAAACCTCACCACAGCAGAATCCTCTTGCAGCTCAAGAACAGAAGCAGGGTGTAGGCAGAATCTGTGCCATGTCAGAGGTATGGATGGAATTATATAAAGAACAAACTGGGGAGCAACCTGCCAAGGACTAGCACTTCGACCTGAAGAAACTTATGCTCCTGGTTTTCCTTCTACTCAATCTTAGTTCAAGGACCAGAGGCACAAAAGAGAGGTAGGGTCTTGGCATATGTGAACACTGCCATGGCTCTGCAAGAACCCGCTGTCTCCTTACAGACTGCTATTCCATCCAAGCCTCCTGACACCAGTAGGGAGGGAGTACAGCCTCGGACAGATGCCCATATCATCCATGTTCTCTGCCCTGTGTGAAGAGGTCAATCTTAGGCTTGTGGCCTCAACAGGTGAAAACAAAAACAAAAACCCCCCAAAAATCCCCCAAAAACTACCCTTTTGGTTTCTGAACGTGAGGATGACTGCCAAGCAGCTCTTTTCCTCTCAACGTCCCACCCTGAACACCACAAGCAAAAGGAAACCCGTAGATACAATGGGTACCTTGAACTCGCTCAATTGATGCAGGCCCGGCGGGTCCCACGGGCGAGTGTTGTAGGGTTCCTAGGTGAGCGTTAAGTTTAAAAGGAGAAAGAGTAGACACTTAAAATAGCTTACATACATGTATGCGTGTGCATGCACACGTGCACACACAGACACACACAGAGAAACATACATGTATGGAGATTGGAGATTTATACAAGTAAGTTAAAAAGCCAAGCGTTCATTAGCTTGTCTTCAGCTACAAAATCTTAAGCTATATTAGCTCCTCTGGATGACCAGATAGTTTCCTGAAGGGAAACTGCGGGCCACTGGGTTTATCTGGGCAGGAATAACCAGATTTTCAATCTCTTTCTTTGCTACTGCTGTTTCCCTAATCTCCCTACAATATTATGAAAGAAAGAAAACAAAATACTAAAAGGTTGGCTTTAAATATCTAGTTAAGCAAAGAACATAAATATATTTTCAGAAGCAATCATGAAAGAAATTACACTGAATCTAGAATGGGAGATTTATTCTGGAGAAGCCTTAACAGATGTGGGGTAGTACTATTTTTGTTGTATTTTAAAGCACAAACATTTTTGCTATCAAAAATATCTAGTGAGTAAACGCAACAAATGAACTTTAGATGAACACAGACAGTATTATTCTAAATAAAATCATCTGGCACAACAAGTTATTAATGATAAACAAACACAATAAAGGCAAAGAGTAATGAGATGACAAGGGTACCAACACTAAACAAAGGTAGTAGGAAAGCAAGAAGTATCTTAAACTGTCTCCTTTCACTATTAGGAATGTGCAAAAGACACAAGAATTACAGAAAAAAAAAGACAATCAGGACAAATGAAAAGATTCTTGCTTCTTCTGCTGAGTACTGAAGGAAACCATAAAAGAAAGTTCATTCCATTTTATATCTTCATGAAGATATCCTTGAAAATACCTTTAAAAATGGGAGTCATTTCCCTTTCTTGATTTTTTTACCAGACAAGTGAAGGTAACTACAGCAGGAAGAAAGATGTCATGTGGAAGTATGTGTTAAACAACTGATGCTTGATTGATGGCCTATGGGGAGATAGAAGCACGACTAAATTCCTAGTCCCTTTTCACCACTGCAAATATAGACTGGGGTACTATCATGGTTTGGGTCTAGACGTCTCCCCAAAGCCTTACGTGGTCACAGGTAGCTTTTTCAGAAGTGGCTGAATCTAGAGTATGTGATGCTGGGATTAAGGGCATGTGATTACTAAACCAGTACACTGATTGGTATGGCACTGCCCTATTCCCTGTAGTCTGGGTAAAAGGGGCAGAAAGAGGCTATTAAAGTTCTTTTGTTGCTTTGCTAATTTCAGCCCATCATGAACTGTTCCCCCTCTGCCATGTGCCACCCTGCCTTCAAGTCAGCTGATTATGGACTGAAAACTCCACAAACCATGAGCGAAATAAACCCTTTCCTCTTTAACTTTGGGTGTCAGGTATTGTGTCACACAAGAGAAAAGTAACACACATAGAATTTGGTACGAGAGTGGGATCGTTGCCGTGACATTACCTGGCCTTATGGCTCAAGAGCATTTGGAACTAGTTTGTGGGAAGGGGAAGAGTTAGGAAAGTTTCAGAGATGCCAGGTTAAAAAAGTAGAGCTGGAATTCCTTAGGCTGTGCTATATGGTTCAGAGCTCAGAAGACCATAAAGCTGTTAAAGACCAAGCTCAGGAGGTTTCTTCTGGGAAGAAGGACTACATTGGCTGCTGGACTCCAGAAGATGTGCGCTATGCTTTGGCAAAAAGTTTGGCTATATATTGCTTGAATCCAGAGACTGCCTGAGAATGAGATTAAAGGCAGGAAACTAATTAATCTGGCAAAAGAGATTTCAAGGCAGTCTAATGCTGAGGCTTTGGAATGGCTATTGCTGGGGGCTTTTAGCCAGATTTATGTTGAGAATCAAAAGCAAAGAGCCCAGTAGAATGATTTAAACATTTTTAGTTTGGCCACAAAGGAAGCTCCAGTAAAGTTGCAGCCTGCAAAGGTAGAGCAGAGGAGATCAGGAGAACTCCACCCTTTGCAGTCTCAAAATTGCCAACGTGAAAGACTTTGCTTTGAGCGAAGAGTCCCAGAGTACCATGTTCCAGAATGGCGTGGCCTAGGGGAGTTGTTCCTCAGGATTTGGTTAATAGGCTCTGGATCCCTATATCCAAGAAGGAAGCCTGGCTACTGCTCCAGGTGACAGCAGACCTTGGCATCAGATATGTGGCGCTGATTTTAGGTGCATACAGAATGCAAGAGCTGTGGCATCAGGAAGGTTTCCACCCGGATTTCAGAAGAAGGCCTGGGAGGGCAGGCAGTGTGACCATGAGAGGGCAATGTCTGAACCTGTGAGTGTGAAGCTGCAGGTGCAGTGGAGACCCCAGAGATTTGGGAGAAGCCAGGAATGTGGGTCATCTGAGGAAAACTGCAAGGAGGGAGCAGAGCTGGCCCAGAAAAGGAACCATGGGAGCTACAATCACCACAAATGCTGTAGGGGTGGAGCCATCAAGCCCTTTGGAGTTCACAACTAGTCATAGATTGCTGGGGATGCTGGAAGTCGAACTATGGAATTTAATGTTTGCCCCACTAGATTTTGGACTTGCTTTGGTCCCACTCCACTGTATTCCAGTTTGTAATTTTTGGAATACAAATATCTATCTTATGTCACTGAATGTTGGAAGTGTTTAAGTTTCTTTTCATTTGTACAGGAGCTTGCAGCTAAAAATCTGCCTTAAATCTCAGAGGAGTCTTTGGACTTGGACCTTTCAGCAAACTGTTTGGACTTTGGCAACTCTTAGAGGTGGACTAAATACGTTTTGCGTAAAGGAATGTATGTCTTTGGGGGATCAGGGGCAAAATATTATAGTTTGGGTCTAGTTGTCCCCTTCAAGTCTCAGGTGGTCATAGGTGGCTTTTTCAGTGGTAGCTGAATCTAGAATGAGTGATGCTGGAATCAAGGGCATGTGATTCTTAAACCAGTACACTGACTGATTTGGCACCACCCTACTCCCTGTAGTCTGGATAAAAGGGGCAGAAAGAGGCTGTTACGGTTCTCTTGTTGCTTTGCTACCTTTGGTCTGCCATGAACTACTGCCCCTCTGCCATGTGCCACCCTATTATGGACTGAAACATCTGCAAACTGTGAGCTAAATAAACCTTGTCCCTTTTAACTTTGGGTGTTGGGTATTTTGTCTGAGCAACGAGAAAAGTAAGTAACAGGTACATATACTATCTATTGACAATGGTGAGATAGAAGCACACAACAGCACAAAAGCATGGAATGCTTAGAGAAAAGATGAGGTATTTGTTCAGGAGTTTGTCTTCCTGTCAGACATCTAATGAAAAAAATTATTCTATCATTTCAAAAATTATTCTATCATGAATCCCAGTGTACAAATCATTGGTCAGTATATTTATATTTTGCTTTTCAAATTGGTTTCACTTATAGGTCATACACTAAGAAGAAAAATCTTAAGTTTCTCTAAACTTATCTAAAGCAGTCTTTTCCCATCTCAAGGACTCAATAAATAAAATACACTGAAGAATATTTTTGGAAGTTAATACTTTCATGATAGAGCCATAATTCATATGTCTTATGGCCAGATGGTTTGAACCACTGGTAGCACATGCACAGCTGTCCTATAGGGCAGCTTTTTATTAATTTTATTAGTAAAAAGACTGATAAAAGTGATTAGATCAATTTGTACCAGTAGTGGTACAAAACCAGGAACGTGTTTATAGAGGCAATGTGGAGAAAGAAAAAGGATATATTTTGGAGTTAGACACTACTCAATCTTAGCTCTGCCACTTTCCAGTTAGAAGAGTATCAAATCTAGTTTTTACTACCCAGATGTCAGTATTTACTTACCTTATCGCCCTGAGTAACTTAAAATTCTGAGCTTCCATCTGGTTCACGTAAAACTGAGGTGCTACCACCTAACTCACAAAGTTGCTTATGAACATTAAAAAGTATGTACTTGGTTCCTTCCTTTTTCTCCCTTTCTCCTCAATTTCAGTAACTCAGAGAAATAACATAGAGACTTTAGAATGGCTGCTGCATTACACATGCATTTCTGTCACAATACAACAGACATTTCTCAAGTAGGCTTTTCAGATCTATGATTTCCCTTCCAGTTTGCTCTGGGGTTTAAATTGTCTTCTAATACCCAGTCACATATTACATGCTCACTACTAAAATCCCTTTCTATGGATAACCAATCCATAGAGGGAAAGAGAACATGTCAACACATCATTGGACTATTAGCAAATGAAGCGTTCATTTGTCTCATCGATTCTTGTAGAGCTTGGTTCTGAATCAGTAGGAGGAGTTTAGACCAGCACTGTACAACAGAAATTTCTGAAATTATAGAAATGCTCTATATCTGCCATGTCCAGTGTGGCATCCACTAGCCACATATAGCTACTGAGCACTTATAAGTGGTAAGTGTTACTAAAGATCTGAGTTTTCAATTTTACTTCAATTAATATTTAAATAGACACTGGTGGTTAGTGGCTGTCCTATTAGAGAATGCAGATATGGAACATTTCCAAGTCCAGTATACATTAATCAGACATTAATATTTCTTTACCTTGTCCCCGTTCTATGGGCACTGGTCCACCTCCTGGCATTCCAAGCTGAGGCTGCATTCCTCCTGGAAGATAAAGGGCAAAAAGGAAAGACACAAATGAGTAATAGTGGCTGAATTTACAAACTACTTCATTCTGCCTTCCAAGAAGAAACCTACAAAAGTAGATTGTTACTATCACTCAGTAATGCAGTTAACAGAAGATGGGGCTTGTTAGTATACTTTATCTTTCAGTGACAGAAAAGTCCATTCAGTATGAAAACTTCCTCTCAATGATTACTAAAGCCATGGCAGAAAGCTATTTTTCTTTCAGAAAGCTATTCTGTAATACAAGAACAATGCCACTTACCCACAGACTTCCTCTCATGGGATGTAGTATATTTATTCCCTGGGTGTTTCGTGTATGTGTGGGTATACTATTTCAGTTGTGTCAAAGATTTGTGAGGACACAGCTAGCACTGAATGTGAAGTTGTCAGGGACACGAGATGTCCTACAATGTGAGACAGTCCCACAATATTAAAAATTAACCTGCCTTGCAAAAGTTTCAAGTATCTTATTGTACATACACACAAATGACAATCTGCTTATAGTCATCTGAAATTAGAACCTCAGTCTACAGTCTATTTTACTTGTAAACACAATGGTTCTTTGTACTTTTTGGCTTGTTTTGTTTTTTTGTAGTACTGGGGACTGAACTCAAGATCTCTTCACTGAGCTATACCCGCAACCCTTTTAAAAATATATATATTTTATTATGAGACAGGGTCTTCCTAGGTTCCTAAATTTCCTGGGTTAGGCTTGAACTTCTGAATCTATTGCCTTAGTCTTCCAGAGTTCTGGGATTACAGCAGGCATTTGTGCTGTGATTACAACAGGCAATCACCATGACACCTAGCTGTTTGCACTGTGTGTGTGTATGTGTGTGTGTGTATGTGTGTGTATTCTTTCTGCCCTCCCATATATATGGGGGAGAGCGAGAGCACAAATACATATATATTTACCCTGTATTTGCCAGAAGTGCAATTACTGGGTAAATTATCAGTGTGTAATTTGTTTTAAGAATTTTATTGTACGTTTTCTCTATTTAAAAAATCACAACACCAATGTCAACAGTCTTTGTGGTATCTTAGTTGTCAAAAAAACACACCTGTCTACAGATTTAATTTTTACTTTCATGGTATCAGTACAAATACATGACACATGCTAATGGACAAATAGTACAAATACCTGCTACATGCTGCTTTTTAGTTCAACTGTGCCCAAATATTTATATATTGATTTTGTATTATAAATGAATGTCCTTTTACTTCTCATTATAGTTAGGACATTATACTGACTTTATGACATGTTACATAGGTTACATCATCTGTACACTTCCTTTCAAGATAGTAAAATCACTGCAAAATATCTATTATGAAAAGGGGACTAGGCTAAACAGGATTTAGAACAACTGGTTTTACCTAACCAATTGGGGTATGATGACTGATATACAAAGAATATTCATGCATAACAAGTCCTTGTAAGGTGCCTTCCATATAGCAGTAATCCTCTTTTTCTCAAAAGAGAAATATAAGCAGTGAGGAGAAAAGATAAGCTCACGTTTGCAGTTCATTAACACTTCCCTAAAATGGCAAGTACATATCACATTGCTCTGTTGCATTTAAAAAGCCAAGCATCAAAGAGCTCTGGATTAAGAACCTAAAAAAATGGATGACAGATCTGCCCTTATACTAAATAACTATGATTCTGAACAAATGCTTTGAAAAACTGAATACATTCCCAGGCTTCCTGATCAGTAAAACCAATTGGTCTGAACACTGGTTCTCAGAATGTGGTTCCCACACCAGCAACATCAGTACCATCAGGAAATTTGTTAGAACTGTAAATACTCAGGTCCCCGCAGCAGCAACCTGTGTGTGTGTGTGTGTGTGTGTGTGTGTGTGTGTGTGTGTGTTTCATTTTCATTTTTTTTTCTCATTGAGTTTATTGGTACATTTTAGGTATACAGTACAGTTACATTCATTTTAGGGATCTTATACCTGTACACGACAGGTAGCAGCCTGTGTTTTAGAAGTACCTTACATGCTTATAACATAGTTTGAAAAACACTGACCTAAACAATTTCAAAGCCCTTCTAGCCATATCTTTTTATTCTAATCATTTGATCCAGACCAATCATTAAGACTATACAAAACTCAGGAGGTTTGGGAATTTAGCTCAGTGACACTGCACCTGCCTCGCAAGTGCAGGTCCTAAGTTCAATCCCCAGCACCAAAAACAAAAACAAAACAAAAAAAACTCAGGATATGAGGAAAGAGACAGCAGAAAACATTTTGAGCATAATTTCTTTTATTACACATCATTACCTAACAGCACTTTTATTTGTTAGATTCTTAGAAGTGGAATTTGTGGGTTCATTAGTACATTAATTTTCAGTTAGATCCCTTCTTGAAAGGCTAAAGAACTTCATATTTTTTTACCTGCGACATACAAGTACCACTTACTCTATCAAGATCATCACCTCTTTGAAACTTGCTAGCCTGATGGGTTTCCATGCATTCTCATTGTTATTTAATTTGTAATCCTTTAACTGTAAATACATTTGTTTATATTTGCCATTTGGCTTTGCTCTATGAAGTTCTTGCAAATTTTGTCAACTTTAATAGGTTGTTTTCCCCATTCTCATCAATTGTTAAAGAGCTTTGGACAGAGTATCTCAAAAATCTTCATGAAGTTTTAACTTTTAAAAAAACTCAGAAATATAAATGCTATAAACTCAAAAAATATCACTTAAAAGTTTTAAAAATTTTATACTTACATTCAACCTTTATATTAATTTACTCTTCTTGGTGTTTCTAGTTTATGACTTTTATGATTCTTTAAAACTAATAACTAGAGTTTTTTTAGTATTATAGGTATTTAAGAATATTCATTTTCACTGGGTACAGTGGTACATACCTGTAATCCCAGCACTTAGGAGGCTGAGGCAGGAGGATCACTGTGAGTTCGAGACCAGCCTGGGCTACATAGTGAGTTCCAGGTCAGTCTCAACTACATAGTGAGACCCTGTCTCAAAAAACCAAAAACCAAACAAACAAACAAACAAAAAGACCAAGAATATTCACTTTCCTTTAACCACTGCCTTTACTGTTCCCTTCACTTTTTTGTGTGTGAAGTACATACTTTTTGTTTCCCTTTAGATACTTTATAAATTTCTTTTTATTTCCTTTTTAATTCAAAGATTATAGTATGTTCCTCAATTTTCTAAGTAAAGAATTGTCTCAGTTGCTTTTTAATTGTTTCTAATCTTGCTGACTTATAATGAAAGAATATGGGCCATAAAGTCTCCACCGTTTTTGAATTTGTTAAGGTTTTATTTTGTGGGTTACGTACATGGACTTTCAAAAAATAAAAAACAAACAAACAAAAACCTGTTCCGTGGTCATTTGGAGTGAGGAGTGTATTCTATAGTCAAGATATAAGGCATTCTCTACACATTAACTATGTATTAAATGGAATGTGCAGATACTATTATTTAATCCAATACAAGTATTTATTTTCTGCCCAATAGCAATGCTACTCATCTATAACACATGCTAGCAGTTCATGACAAGTACAGAAAGAAGTTCAGATATGGCACCTCACTCACTAAACAGGCTGCAAATCAGTCTGTTAACTTATGTAATATGCCTCATTGTTGTATACTTGTCATGTGCAGTAGGACCACATTAGAACTTATGGTTGGTATTTCAAGGTAAGTTAGGCATCTGTAACTCAAAAACATATAAAATATAGAACCCATTGATTTTTTTTTGTGGTACCAGGGATTGAACTTGGGACCTTGAGTTTGCAAGGCAGGCAGCAGAACCACTGAGCTAAATCCCTGGCCCTAGGACCCGTTGTTTTCACTGCAAGATAATTTAAGATAAAGTGAATAAATGAAAATTGTGCATTTGCTAAAATTTCTTTGAAGCTCTTCTATTCTTTGTCAACTTAGCTCGGTAGACTGGTTTCTCTACAAAACCAAAGAATTTAGATTTAAATTATCTTCTGTTAGTGTTACAGTCAATCTAACCCAGATTAGAAAAATTAATAAGAAGTTTGTTTGCATAAAAAATTTAAATATTGGTACTCCACCAAGTGTTAATACAGGTGTTTCATGAGAAGAATCACTATTTTACATTGTCTTTATTACAACTGTTGAACAGTGAAAACTTACAAGTGTAATAGAAATACTTTATTAATTGCCTACCTACATGCTTTCACTGAAAGTGTAGCTGTTAAATTTCCTTTTTTTTGCTGCTTGGTTTGATTATATTTAGTGAAATGCAACTTTATCACGTGTTTTGTGCTCGTTTTACTTCTAAATTTTAACCTAATTTAATAGTCTCTGGCTTTTAATGGGAGAATTCAGTTCATTCACATTTAACAGAATAAAGAATATACTAGTTTTTATTCCTTATACTTTAGTCCACACTTACTATTTATTTTATGTTGTCTTTTCTATTTTTCCTGGTTTGATTAGTTTCCATTCATTCCATTTTTCCTCTCTTTAATTTAGAAGATTTACTGTACTTTTCCACTTTACTGTACATTTTCTTACTAGCATGAGACATACAGAATTTGTATATAAGAAATAATCTACTTTCTCCACCTAGGATATATACTTTCTAGGTATACATTAATTTATATCAACAACCTACTACCATATAGTTTGGCTGCATTATAGTAGGTTCTAAGACTGTACTTCGCAGAAGCAACAAAATGATAAAGACTTTAAATGAAGCTTACCTCCAGGAGCTAAGGAACCAGGGCCAGGTCCTGTTACAGAAGCTGGAATCTGCCCTGGTGCTGGGACCCCACCTTGCATAGAAGCTTGCATCAGAGGAGGTGCGCCATTGACGTGCATTCCACCCTGACCAAAAGAAAAACTACAGTACAGACATGCCTCTGTGAAGAATCAATATATTAAATCTCAAACCCAAAAGTTCTCTTAAAATTGGCAGTCCCAAACAGTCTACCAAAAACCCTTTTTATACACGTCTCATGTGGCATCAGATTTATCACATACTTTGTATTCTGTGGAAGCAATCTGCAACATTTAATATGGTTAAGATGGGGCATGTCCTAAATGTAGAAATTGAGAAATCTTATTTCTTTGGCAGGTAGCATACTACACACATTCTTGACTTCACGACTGGGGCCTAGCAAGTGTTAAAAAAAAAAGTGCCTTGAACTCAAGAAGACAATGAGAGAAAGAGCTGGTAGTATAATATAGCAACATACATTTTGAACACCACTAAAGACTATTAAGTTAAAAAAAAGACTATAATTTGACTTTTGTCTATTATATGGGTAGCAAATATTTTTCTCCATTTTGTCATTTGTATTTTTTTTTTTTTTTTTTTTTTTTTTTTTTTTTTCCTTTTTTTTGTTTTTTTTTTTTTTTTTTTTTTTTTTTTTTTGGTACCGGGGATTGAACTTGGGTCCTTGCGCTTGCAAGGCGGGCCACCGAACTGCTGAGCTAAATCCCCGGCCCCTTTTGTCATTTGTCTTTGGTGTTTATTTTGCCTTCCTTTCTCCATACAGAAATTTTTCAGTTTTTAAATGTATTAGTTGAGCATGGTGGCACATGCCTGTAATCCCAGCACTCAAGAGGCTGAGGCAGGAGGATCACCATGAGTTCGAGGCCAGCCTGGGCCACATAGTGAGTTCAAGGCCAGTCTGAAATACACAGTGAGACCCTGTCTCAAAACAAACAACATAAAAGTATTAATATTTTTATGGTTTCAGCATTTTATGTCATGCTTGGAAAATGAGCCTCTTTTCTCATTGCTGAAAATGGAGATAATAAGAATGCTTACCTCACACAACTTCTGTGAGGATAAAATGAGATAATCCATATGGAATAATGGAGCATCAGGCATGCACATAAACACAAAGTTAGCTTATAGGAAAAGGACATAAAGGAAGTTTCTCTTTGTTTTAAAAACTTGGAACAGAATCTCTATTCATTTGGGTGGCATGTGCTCTGCAAGCTAGAAACTGTTCTTATGCCTCAAAATGAAAACTATCATCTCAGGTTCCTGACCATTCTTTCAATATAGTTTCCTAAAAAGAAAATGACATTCTAAGACAGATAAAAGAAATATTAAGGGATAAATCCATACCAAAGTCTGGGCCTGAGGGGCTTGAGGATTCTGTTGGTTCACTGACACATTGGCTCCCGAGCCAGGTCCAGCACCATGGACTGGTTGAGGATTGCCTGTAATCAGTGTTGGGATATTTGTCTGGCGATGCAGAATTTTCTAAAAAGCGAAAAGACAAACCAATGAGCTATCTGTTTAACAAGTCAATCAGGTACTTCCTATCCTGCTCAAAGTTTACCCTACCATTTCCATAAAAGAATCGAAGGCACTCACCAGGGCAATCTCTGGATCCACAATTCTCATCACTACCTGTGCTTGCAGCAAAGCATAAGCCAGCTGTGGGTTCTGAAGCAACATGTTCCGTGCTTCTTGGGGACTATTCTGGACACAGAGCTGAGAAGGAAAGCAGATTTATCATCAGATGCAATATTTATTACTTAAAAATTATGATTTATAGCCATTCTCATCTTAGAAATGTAATATTCCAGAGGCTTTTAGTCTCAGCTAGATTGTTTAGGTAGGTCTGTTTGTGTACAAAAATATACTGTGCACATGTGGAATATTGAAGGTACAAGAAATGGGTGTCTATAAATACCACTTTTTTTGCATTCAAGGAGCTATATCCATTAATTCATCATAATCAATTAACTCCTTCAAAATCTGACGTGAACTGTTTTATTTATAACCTAGGGCCTCCTCCCACCTTCATTTGTTTCATCAGCTCAAACATCTGCTCTGGTGGAAGACTGGCAACTGCTTTGCTAATGGACTCGGGGGCATCCTCAGGACTGATGGTCTCTCCATAAGGTGACTCAATGACAGGGGCACCAGTGCCAAGGCCTGATCAGGAAGGAAGTACAAGAAAGTTACAGAGGCAAAATCAAAAGCTAAATTATTTTAAGTATTTATTTTCCAGTGCTGCTTCTTAGCACCAATTGATAATTTAAAATTCTTGGGAGCTGAGAAGTCATCTGAAAATCTCTCGTTTTTGAGTAGAAAAGTGAGAACGTATTTTGTGTTCTTAGAGGAAAGCTTGGACAGTGGTCTCACAGATGGGCAATATTAACCTAAGTTAGAGACCCAAGCTATTGACTTATTTTGACAAGTCATTTCAGAAGAAAACAGTTTAAATATACAAAGCTGTCAATTTTAAGACAGAATTCTGGGATCTACTGCCTCATGAGAAAGGCCACAAAAATGCCTTAGTACACCTACCAGCTACCGATCTGGCAATTGCTCACTGGAGTGATTAATGAAACAGCACCACTAATGGCGTGTTAGATCTAAATTCATCTAAGTGGAAATCAACTCCTTAGCAACAGGAGGATTTCTACTAAAGTCAACATTACCTTGCTTCTCACAGATACTACTTCTCTAACTCAGGTGCCTCAGGCTGATCAATTAAAGAAACTGTGTGGTATATTCTAAAATACATCACGAAAATTTTCATTGTTACATCTCTACTAACTCATAATGCATACAATTTGGGTTTATACTCACTCTTCAGCTCTTCTTTGTTCTTTTCGCTGGCAGCATTGTCAACTCGAAGTGCTCTTCCACTGAATTCACGCCCATTAAGGTTCCGCATGGCACTAAGAGCCGTCTCTTGGTCTTGGTATTCACAGAAGCCATAACCTTTTGGTTTTCCTGTCTCCCTATCATATACCAATCTGGAGAGCAAAACCAAGTATCAGGCACAAATACTACAAACATACTATAAAGGGTTCCTGCTAAGACTGTCATGCTCTAATTTGGCTCACTAACTTTATAACTCAGATGCCTCACTGAAATATTTTTAAAACATTTTAATGAAAAGTCTTTTTAATGCATGTGAACAGTATATGTGAATTATATCTCAATAAAGCAGTTAACAAAAAATAAAATGCATGTGAAAAGTTATCATTAAAAAAATACCTTGCCATCACTGCTACAGGCCAAATTTGCAGCAATTTTTAAGAATCTCCCACCAAGAAGTAGAAGATCTCACCTGAAACTAACAACAGGTCCAACCTCAGAAAAGATGTCCTTCAATTGCTCTTCAGTAGCTTCATAAGGAATGTTACCCACTAAGGAATAGATAACATATTACAATCCTGAGTTTGTAACCTAGATTCTTAGTGAGATAGTATACAGCTTATATACTTACATTACTGAATACTAACAACTGGCTCAAAATAGTGTTTTCCGAAACCCATTTGGTTTCTGTCTCTTCAGATCTCTTAACAAGGGAAATAAACCACTGAGACAAAATACAAAAGGTATAGATACTACAGTTCTGTTGGATCTGACAAGTGTTAGATCTTCCTTAAGTTTGGTTAAAATAAGTATATAAGCACTAGTATTTATCTGGGGGCCTCCAGGTACCAGTGACTATCAAAAATATTATAATTTTAAACAGGTCGTATATCCACATTTCCACATATACACACATTTACGGAAGAAAACAAATGGGCATAGTGGAGGCATTTAAAATTTACTGTTTTGTCATGTCTCTTTTCAAAAGGCGCTTTAAAAACCACTTTAAAATACAACGTACTGTAGCCAAAAAGATCACATAATAGTTTAAATCCTCTTTAAAATTACCTAACGGGGTTTTAATCATTCATTCATTCATTTGCAATTCACCTCAAGACGCCAGAGGCCCGCTACGACTAAGGATAAACTAAAACATTACTAGTGAAAAGCAAAGGATGTAAATCCTTACGAGAGGGCGGAAGCTGGGCACAGGGACATAAACACTCAGCATATAATCTATATTCTGTGACGGGGTAAGTACTGTACTACCGAACAGCGAGACGCTGCTGCTACCATGCGTCCTTTCTTCTAAAAAATAATCGAAGATCATGTAGGAGAAAATGCAAAGAAGATGACTGCTAGTCTAACTCCCTCGATGATATTGCGGAAAACCTCACAGGCCTCAGAGGAACAGAAGCACTTCTTTGCCCACGAGGTTGGCCACCCCAAGGGATGGGCAGAGAGAACTGCAAGCCCGACCCATCGCCAGCTTTCGCGGCGATTTTAGAGGAGGGAGGTGCAAGAGGGCGTTCCTCAACGCTCCCGTGCCTCTTTCTGTCCCTCCCTTTTGCTTGAATCCACCGAATGCTTCTCACCGAATACCGAACGTAGAGAACGATCCACTGCAGGGTCTCTCACAGTCAATCCCGCCATTGCTCTCTCCAGCGGCTTCCGGTCCTAAAACACACTTCCGTACGGCGCTCAAGCCTAGCTCCGGCCAAGGCTTCCGTACGGCGCGTGAGCCGGAAGCGTTGCTTCACCGCTGCATCATTTCGTCCTTTGCAGTCTCGCGTTTGGGAACTGAAGGACTCACTCTTACCCCGAGGGCCTACAGCATGAAAATAACTGCGATGCGAGTGAGATTCAGGCTGGTCCAAGCTAACACGAAGGCTATTTGCCTGCAGAATTCCTTTCTAATTTTCTTTTTAGGCTGACGCAAGTACTAGTTAGCCACAATAAAGATGGCGGCAGCGGCTGTACTGTGGTAACAGGGAGTTCATTTGTTAACAGCCTGGGCCCTTTCATTTTAGTTCCGCCCTATTGAGGGAGGGAAATGCTTGGTCCCGCCCTAGCAGCACGCTGCTTATTATTTTGCTCAAGTCTCGGGTCCTCGTAGATGAACTGAGAGTAACGCCAGACCGGAGAATGTGACAGTCAGATTCGCTCAATCTCTAGGCGCCAATATTAGCGAGGAGGTGGAGATTCAAAGAGAACAGACCGCTGCCTGCTGTCTTGTAGCCCGTGGGCTTCAGGTACTTAATAGTGGGGCAGTGCAGTAGACCACATTTGCAGGCAGGATTTGGAAACTGAACAAAATATCATTGACTGGTTGATACTATACTTTGGTGCCCGTACTTGTGGGCTATGGCATGTAGGATTACAGTAGTTGCCAGTCCCACTGAAGACAGATCCTTCCGGATTTGGAAGAAATGCATGGCAGAGCATCTGAGAAGAACAGGGTTAGGGAAGAAAAAGAAGAGTGCTATGTTTGAGCAAGCTGCTATCCGAAAAAGAAGTCACAGGTAATACCTTAGACACAGAATTTGAGGCATGGACATTTTTATTCCAATTATTATTATTATTGTTATTATCATCATCGTGGTACTAGGGATCGAACTCAGGACGTTGTGCTTACAAGGCAGGCTCATTGCCACCGAACTAAATCTCTGGCCCTTCCACATATATTAGAAGAGGGTGTGCATAATAAGATTTGCTAGAAATATGAGAAGTTTTTAGAAAAATAAACAGGTGCTACGTTACACTTGTAACATGTATCATTTCAAGGAGCAATTCTGGTTTAAAAATTTTTTTTGAAAATATTCCTACCCCCATGACTGGAGTTCCATTTACAATCATTGTGTGACTTACAGAACATCTTGTACAATAGACTAACTCAAAGGAGGATTTACAGCTCTTATGAAAGGCATGGTTTCAGAGTTTTGGCATGACTGTTTCAGTGTGATGAACTTTTGCTAAATGCGTGTATGGACAAGTATATTTCTAACCTGGTGTTTTCTAAACTTAGATGAACACAAGATTTACATGGGATGGTAGGAGTAGAGATGCTTGAAGTTCCACCCCGGGTCTAAAAAATGAGATTCCAGGCAAGAAGTTTGAGAGACATTTTTAGACAAATGCCCCTGGTGATTCGCAGGGTGAAGCAGTTTAGGTAGTGTTGTAGTTACTGAGGTAGTTTTATGACAATATTTAGTATAAACACTTTTTTATCCATTTTCCCTTATAATAGTTCTTAATTTCTTAGTCTAACGCTACCCTTTGTGTGTGTGGGGTGTGTTTGGAAATGTACAGGAGCATTTTTCGATGTTCCAGTGACTAGGGGAGTACTATTACTGGAGGAAGAGCAGCCATGTCCAGTGTAGACCAGTGGACCCTTCACCCCATCAAATGCCAATAATATCTCTCCCTTTCAGAAACACTTAACTTTAGTTGTACTAGATCAAAGGGACTCTGGATCTGAAGGAATTACTACCTTTGCATGCATAACTTATACTTTGGCCTTCTCCCAGCCATGCAGCTGATCCCAATAAAAGCATTTATTGAGCACTTGTTCTGTCCTTTTTTGTATTAGTTTTCTCTGGCTGTGTTAGGCATTTCCACAAACTTAGTGGCTTAAAACATTATTCTTTTACTACCCCACAGTTCTGCAGGTCAAAAGCCTAGGCAGACGTTGCTGGACTCTGTGCTTAGGACTTTACAAGGTTGAAACCAGGGATTTGGGGTCTCTGGGGGCATAATTGTTGGAGGAATTTGTTTCTTTGTGGTGGAAGGATTGGGATTCTTGTTTTCTGGCTATTTTCTTGGGAGTTGTTGCTTTTAGCTCATAGAGGCTTCTCTGGTTCTTGCCTGTGGGTTACTACATCTCAGAGCCAGCAATGGCACAGTGAAACCTGTTTTGAATTGCCGACTACCTCTTCTGTGACCAGCTGGGAAGTATTTTGCTTTTATTTTATTTTGTTATTTTTAATTTGTGGGGCTGGGGATGAAATCCAGAGCTTAGTGAATAAAGTACTCTATCCCCCACCCCATGCTCCACTTTTAAAGGGCTCTTGTGTTTAGGCCATGCCCATTCAGGTAATATCCATATATTAAGGTCAACTCTGTTATGTAACATGGCCAAAGCATGAGGGTAAAATCAATTATGATTCTATGAGGTCCTAGCAATATGCAGGCAAATACATGTAGTGGGGAGGGCCAGAAAATCTTGAAGGCCATCTTTAGCTGCCCAGCACTCCTATTTTGTTGACAAACATGTTTAAAGAAGTTTAACTTGTTTAGGTCCCGCAATAAGTGCCAAAGGCAAGGTTTGAACCTGGCTGTTTTGGTGCCCGAGATTTCCTAATGCTATATCTACTGCCTCCCAGCATAACAACAACAAAAAATGCAAATAGCTCAGTATATGTTGTTATCACTTTTGGAAAAGAGTGTAGCTTTTCCGAGAGTGACCTGGTGATGATGGGTCAGTGGCTTACAGTAATGAACCACCTGAGAAAGGTTTGAAGGACAGAACTAGAGCTTGTTCGGCTATCATCAGCCATCTGTGGAAACTGTACCACAGCAACCAAACCCTCTCTACTAGTTACAAAAGAGTAGGTAAGTGCAAGGGATGTATCCTAAGTGTGGGGGTGTGGGGGTGTGTATCTTTAGGTTTCACTTAAAGGCTCTGCAGTAGTGACTCCTGCCTGCCTCAGTGCCTGTCCATGAGAATCTTTCCCCACCATTGAGATATTCCTCACGTATTTATTTTGCCTCTTGTTTCTAGTAAATTGAAGACAGAATATGGGACATTTTAACTTGTTGTAGGTAGTATGGCTGAAGCATCAATTTACAACAATATGGGTATAATATTAAGAGAGAAGAAAAATGTTAGAAAAGAAGCATTTCTTCATATACAAGACTAAAAGACCTAAATGTTTCTTGGGGATTTGAACAGAAGAGGGAGGTGCACTTAATGGATAAAGAATTTTGGAAGCCATAGTCAAAATTTGTGGGACAGAAAGTTTTGTGGAAAAGTCCTGAGTTCTTATCCAATTTTGTTGAGACTTTAAATCTTGAGTGAAATACCTTACATGTAAGGGAAGGTAGCAAAGACATTCAAAGTTGTAAGGACACACAGACTTGGACTCTTTCTCCTGGTCATAGGCGGCCAAATTTCCAAGGCTAGGGTAAGTACTGAATATTTGATACATATTTAAAGCTCCTCAAAGAGTCCTGAAATGAAGTCCCTCATTGTCCCTGTAGGGAAAACCTGGAAAGGCAGCAACTCTTGGATAGTTATCATTGTATAGACTTTATGTAATGGTGGTAGTATTATCTGTGTTAGGAGAAAGACTCAGTGAACAGCTTCTGCAAGAACTAAAGAAACTTGAAGCCCCCAGGGAGCACTTCAATGCTGATATAGATTGTGATCAGTATGTAGATGAAGGTTTCAATTGCTTTGCTTTCCAGGAACATTATTTCCAAGTTCTCTATAGTTCCACTCTCAAGAGTGGTCACATAGCAATATTTAAACTTTCTGGAACTATTTGAAAATTCCGCCTAAACTGTAATAATGATAACCTTTTAAAGCTTTCAATAACAAACAGCCAGCTGCAGCACACTTGCCATAGGTTCACCACAAATGGCCTAAAGGCTACTCTACAGAGAGGTGCCAAGTCCATCAAAGTAAGTCATTCCAGTGTTTGTTTTTTTGATTTTAAAAATTAATTTTATTGATATATTCACATATACATAATGAACACATTCATCATAGGGAATTTATACCTGTACATGATGTATCTTGATGCTTCTTTTTTTTTTTAAATCTCCTCCTCCCGCATTCAACCTCTCGTCCTATCCTTATTTACAAAAGCTTTGTTTCTACTTTTCCTTCTATTCTCATTTTTCTTTTCCCATCCTTCCCTTGTCCCGCCCCCCCTCCCTTCTTACCCTTCCAATTTGAACATTTTATTCCTGTTTCACAATGTCTATTATAGAGTTTGGTCCTTATGTACCTGTGGCGGTCCAGCCGTCACAACACTAACGTGCCTGAGTTGGGGAGTGAGGATTGAGAAAGGAAAGAACTCAAGCCTGA